AAAAAAGAATCTTAATTTGATGTGGGTTTTGGTATTTGAAGGTGTTCATAAATGTTCCGTGGTGGTACCTAACATTCAATAAGATGATCAGTCCTTTCCTGACACAAAGGACAAAGAGCAAGTTTGTATTTGCTGGTCCATCCAAATCTGCTGAAACCCTTTTCAAGTAAGTGCAATTCCTTAATCTGGCTTCCTTTATTTTTCCTTCATGATGTTTGATCATTATTTGCTTTCTTGGAATTCTGTATATTGCGTGATCATTAATAGTTCTGACAAGTCCCGTGATATCTCTTCCTCTTTATGGTTAAAGACATCTCTTAGATTCATCTTCTTTTTCTCCGTGTTAATTTCTTCATGTTGATATAATCTCTCATATGTCTGGTGGTGTATTTATGTGTGTTTATTGATGATATACAGATACATAGCTCCTGAAGAAGTGCCAGTTCAGTATGGTGGACTGAGCAGGGATGGTGAATTCACAGTTGCTGACTCTGTCACAGATGTTACTATTAAGCCAACATCAAAGCACACTGTTGAATTCCCAGTTTCTGAGGTACATATCTAAATTTAATAAGCCGGTTTTGATTCTTAAACTAACAATAAGCAAGCATTTTTCTTTCTTTCTTTCTTTCTTTCTTTTGGGTGAAGCGTTGGTGACATCAAATTAATTTTAATTTCAGGCATGTATTCTTGCTTGGGAGCTTCGAGTTTTGGGTTGGGACGTTAGCTATGAAGCTGAATTCATGCCTAGCGCAGAGGATGGTTACACTGTTATCGTATCAAAGACTAGGAAGGTTACCTCAACCGACGAGCCTGTGATCTCAGACACATTCAAAATTGGTGAACCTGGCAAGGTTGTGCTTACCATTGATAACCAAACCTCCAAGAAGAAGAAGCTCCTCTATAGATCGAAGACCAAGCCCATTTCTGAATGAGCTTCAAGGATCAGGGCCATCGTAGAGTTTTTAACTTCCAATCATTTAGAAGACATGGATGGCATGCAAGGAGTCCTATAATGCATGAACACGAGGGTGGAGTTTTGTTTTTGTTTAATTTTTTGTTCTTATGAAGTCTGGGGCATTTATTTATATATTTCATTATACATTAGTTTTTTGGGGGTGGGTTTTCTTGTTTGGTGTTGAATTGGATACAATTTACTGGTAAAGACATTCTGGGATATCATGGATTGACAGACAGATTTGAGGTTAAAGCATGAAGAACATGAAAATGTGACTGCCAAGGTGGAAAGAATATCGTCTGTTATCATTCTTGATACTCTTACCTGTAAAATTTGTGTAAATGTGATGGTGTATAATTTCCTAATACATGTCTTTGATAAATTCATAGCATTTCTCGTGGATCCACTTCAGTCAAACATGAAGTTGGTTTTAAATCTTCCCACACCGTGCTCATCTTCTCGATCCCATAATTTTGTGATGCATTGGAAGGTAAGTCCCAAGCTTTGATTCGGGGCATTGAAGGGCACGCCCTAGGACAAGAAATGCGAGTATCTCACCATTAGAGAACAAACTGGTTGGTGCCAAGAAATTAGAATTGAAGAATCAAGCCTTATGACTAGATAAGGCAAGTTACCTGCTGGAAAAAAGATGTGTGTATAATCAATTAAGTTACTTGCTGGAAACGTAAATAGCAATGAAAGTGATGCAAAACAGTTGTTTATGGCTTATTTTCTGTCGAAGGAAGAAGCTCTTTCAGGGTGGTTTTATTCTTTGGAGCATTCTGTCTCACCATTAACAAAAAACAGTTCAAGATATCATATGCTCAAAAACTGTTCATCTCAGACGAAACGAAACACATCACAATTTATACGCTTTCTTCTCTTATAGTTTCAAAGTCTTTTTTTTACCTTCTTGTCATGTAAAAACATCCAATTCACATGTATCCATGGCACTTTTCTGGCTACAACTTGGACAATGGTGGCTTCAAGTTGTGAAGGAAGAGTTTTTTGTCAAGTTCTTCAGTCTAAGATCAATCACGTTAGTGAAGAATCCTACTTTTGTGATCAAGATGCGTTAGGCATTGCTTGGCCAAGGAGAACACGTTTAACTTCTGAAATGTTATCCTGATCCACACTTGCACTAACAAAGATGAATTATTTATTAAATATATTAAAATAATATTTATTTATTTATTTAAATTTATTTGAAACACGTAACAAAATAAAAAATCATAGCAGCTGGTCCCGTCAACAAGGATATCACCTAATCAATAACCAGTATTCAGCACAGTGCAGAGATTAACGTTGACTGACATCTCATGCTTATTGTTTTTTCTCGAAGGGAATTTGATCTCTGTCTCTGTGGGCAGACGAAAACGAAAGAGACAACTCCCCTGTAAATCCCTGGTTTTTATCTCGCCTCGCCTGTCTCGATCCTGACATCATTTTCAAATGTACAAGCAAAATGTTTGGAGATGCTGAGATCATGGTTGTGATTATCTTATTAATAGAGATTAATTAACAGTAATAATCTACCTGATTGTTATCCAGCTGAATTGATCCTCGAGGATGGATTTTCTTTTCATGTGGCCATTGGGTCCATAATGACATGGCATGAGATTTTGCTAATAAGATACATGGAACATCGTTATTAGACCTCCGAATCTATCCAGTTAAGGAGGCTGGTACCACTAAATAAAAAATTGAAAAAAAAAATTGAATTTTTAATATTTTATATAAAAAAATTAAAAAATAAATCATGTAAATATAAGTTATATATATTATAAATAATAAAATTTAAAATATTATCTCAAAAGGTTTTTTATTGCATATTAAAAAGATACTATATTAGTATATTATTCTTTTAAATTGAATTATTTAAACTAAAAATATTTTTTTATCTCACATTAAAAAATATAATTTAGTTTATAAACATAAAGTATATATATTAAAGGACTTCAAATCCTATATTAAAAAAAATAAATATTATTCTAGTATTTATACCTATATTAAAAAAATTAAATATTATTCTAGTATTTATATAACGAAATTTAAAAATAATTAATAATCAAGTAAAAAATATAAAAAAATATGGGTCTCTAGCTATAAAAAAAATACATTTACAAAAAAGAAAGGATTTTAACAGAATTTTGTTGAATCATCAAACTAGTTCAGATTTAATAACTATAATATAGACCATATGATTTATATATTATTATGGCTATCTAAATTTTTTTTTCCCTATGTCGTCATTAAAAAAATCATTTTAATTCCTTTTCCTCCTATTATCATTGAGAATTTTTACTATGTTCAAACTGTAATAATAAAAGGGGATATAAAAAGGATTGAGAATAAAAAAAATGTTATATTATGTATATCTTTTTTATATTATATCTATCTATAATTATAAATTTAAATTGTTATCACACACACATACAAAATGAATCATTGTTAAATAAAAAATCCACAAATCTTCAGAAAACAAATAATAAAACTCATACATTAATATTTGGCCTTACTCCAAACATGTTGCTCTTTTTTATATGGATGAATTATTAATATATATTGATGGAAAGTGTCAGATGTCTAGTTTCTATCTTAACTAGAATCATAATAAAATTCTATATGTTGCACCATATATGGATCAAGTGGTATACAAAGATCAAGCTTAACAAATTTGCAACTTGTTAACTCAAATATTCATAATCAGCCTAACCAATTTCTCATGGATTCTTTTAGTTTTAAACCTTATAATAAGCCTAATTGGTACCTTTAATGTATATTTAGTGATTCTCGTTGATTCACATTATTCTTCCTCTCTTCAAAATGACTCAACCTTGAATCATCACTTTGGTTGAATGTTAACTCGCTTTTAGAATACAGATTAACTCGATTTTATGATTTTAATCCTCTTGTTTTTTAGAGTTGAGTGTATAATATTTTGTAGCAACGTGGGGATTCTTCCACTAGTAGGGGTTGTATTCTTATTGACAAAGTCATAGAGTCTTAGAGCTTGTATCACACCTAGTTTTTTTTATTTATGCGTGAGGGAAACTTAAATGGAGATCGATAATGACTGGATTTTTTAGAGTATCTCATATGAAATGAGTATATGTAGCTCATTTTAAATATAAAAGTGTGAGTGTTGTTTGCTTACATGTCATTCCTCCCTGCTTTCTAAAGGAACTAGATTTATTGTTGTACATTTAGGTAGCGTTTGTTTATGAGGTTGTATATGTGTTTTGTTTAAAACAAAGATGCAACATGTTTGGTAATTAAAAAAAAAATAGTTTACTGTTCATGAGACCCATAATGATTTGCATTTGAAACATAGGGGGAAGAAAAACAACTCCTTGCTGCTTCTTGTGAGAATGAAGTTCACTGAAAAGTGTAGTCATACTACACTATTCAGTAAATAGTGGAGCATGCCTTCACTTTTCACGTGAACAGTGGAGGCATGCTCCACTATTTCAGCCGAATCGAGTCCGGTTCAAAACTCGAAATACATTAAACTTGGTACGACTAAGTAAAATAAAAAAATATTTTTTATTTGTTAATTGTGTTTTATAAAAAAAAAAACTGGTGTTTAACATTATTCAATGACACTACATACTGGTGTTTAACATTATTTAATAACACTACATAAATTAGACGAAGATCACTTAATGAAGTAGCATTTGTATAATTTATTGCAATCCCAATTTTGTTTCTAGTTATATTTTACCTGATGTTATTACGCACTTAAGAAACTAAGAAAATTGTAGTCATTGTCGGATGTATTTCATATGTGATGGTATTGTAGATAGTTTAATGGAACAATAAAAAATATTTTATACAAAGTATCTTTTATTTCATGATGTAATAACAATAGTTAAATCTACAATATTTAAATTAAAACCATCAATATTAATATATATTTTTAAAAATTATTTTATAACTTTAATTTCAACCATAATTTTAACCAAACACACACAAATACCAAATCAACCTCAACAAAAAGTACTTTTTTATAAAGAAAAAATATTTTTTTATAAAATATTTTTTTTTAAATTACAACTATAAAAGCTACCACAATATCAAATGGACTATTAGTAATACTTGTTGTTATGCAAGAAAAAAAAGTGACAAGATACAGTTACATCACTATAATAGCATCATTGAACACTTGCACATGATGTGAGAGTTATTAGAGACTTAGAAAAGCTAGAGTCTATGTAGTAGAAAGATTAGTTACTCCATTCTATCTTATAGTTTCGTCAATCATAGAAAATGTTTCTGGTAAAGAGTGAAAATGAATGAATTACCTTTTTTATTATTTTTTCCACAATCATTATTATACAATTAGTGATGCTTGTTGCTATGGAACAAAACAAATGTGAAGATGTAATTGCATCACCACAATAACATCATTGAAGACCTACACCTTATGGTAGAGTTGTTGGAGACTTTGAGGAGCTGAAGCCTCTACACTAGGAAGATCAGTTACTTCTTCTTGTCCTAAAGTTTTGTCAATTATAGAAAGTGTTTATAATAAAAGAGCGAAAATGAATGAATTACTTTTTTATTCTATTTTTCACAAATGACATCCCTAATAAAGTTGTGAAAACACTTCACATAAAAAAATTAATTTCCTCAACTGGAAAACTGAGCTTATGAGTGATTCTTGTAAAACTGGTCCTTGTTGGGATAATAAACACTTTGATGTTTAAGTTAGTACTTGTATGCATGGAGAAAATAATGAATATGAAGAAAATATAGGTAAGAGGTGAAGAAACATATTTGGGCATTGCAAGATTATGGACCTCTTATGCCATAAAAAAAATGTCATTAACTTGGTTTTATAACTAGGTGTATTTATACATCTAGACTTGTAATTTCTTCATGAAAAAGGAATCATGTCAATGACCAATCGATATGGCTTATTTTTTTAATGTGATTTTGTATCATGAGTTTTATGTTTGGTACGTAATTCCTTGGTATGCTATGTTTATCTAATGAAGTATATTTAATTTTATCGGTTTTCATGTAGTTAGTGGTAATTAAAAAAAATAGTGCATGTCTTACAAAAATTTTGCCTACATGAGATATAAAAATTATGTTTTGCAAATTAAAGTTGTTAGTACAAGGACAAAATAAACATGAGAGAAAAATTAAAAAGAAACATAAA